CACATTTAAATCTATTTCTATATTCCACACTTCGTGCACAACATGGACCCGGTAACTTCTGACAGGAATCAGAAAACTAATTATTGTAAACACCCGGCTTGTGGCGGGTATTAAAATCCATTATTCTGACAGTTGGATTGAAAATGGGTGTTTAATTTTTCTTGGCACTGGCACACTATTCTGTAAAAAGTTCATAAGATATAACATGTAGGTCTTAAAATTTCTTATCTTAACTAAGAAACATAATTATATAGTTATATAACCTTCAACTTCACCCTCAGATCAAACTAAATGCATGTACCATCTAAACTACCTCGGAATAAAACATCCCTTTCAACTGCATGTAATTTAGCTTACTGAACTGTAATAATTGTAAAACGTAATAGAATATTGACAAAAGCCTGAAACGGAGGTTCACTAGTTAAATAATTCGTTTTGATTTAATTGTTATCGAACTTAAGTAAGACTTTCATTCTCAAAAGTAATTAAAAAAAAGATTCAATCCTTACCGGCTGCTAAACAGCACTTATGTCCCTACAAAATAGAGTCTTATGAAATGCTGATAATTTAAAGACATGACAGTTTCGAGTTGTATTCTGGCAATTGAAGAAAGTTTCGACTGTAATTTGAGGATATGACACAATTACAATAATATCGCAAGAATATAGAAAATGAACGGAAATGGATCTTAAAGTTGCTTTTTAAAGTGTAATCAGAGTTATTCCCACTTCCTCATTTCAAGTATGACAATATTATTATGTTTATTAGGAAGTCGATATTAATTGGAACTGAGGGAGGTGTATTAAGAGTCCATTATGAGATAAGAAATGTATGGAATATCTCAACAAGAAGTTACATTCCGGATGAAATAAGTTGAATTAATGTGTGCAGTCAAGACAGTATTGAAATCTATAGGATAGGATAGCTAAGAGTAAAACGTGGAAACTTTCAAGATTATGGTTATTCCTGTTAATGATATTTCTTTCTTATTTTTATAACGTTTTTCATTCAGTGTTATGTTCTATGAATTCAGTTATGAGTTGAACACTATAGTTTGTAGAAGTCTACATATACAGACGGTTATAATGTTAAATGCCATATGTCTTTTAAAGTTATTTACCTAAAGAAAAAGGAAATCTAACATGGATGTTTTCGAGGTAAACACCATACCAATCATGGTAAGATTATATAATTTTAGCATCAATTTATATAATAAAAAACCTAAAATTCATATTATAATCTTGTCTTTGTTAATCAATATAATATTTGTTGTTCAATATTTTCTGATGCACCATAAATAAATTGATTAGTTAAAAAATAACTCGTTAAAATCATGTAATGTATTTAAAATCTAATCTTGATCGAAATTGTAAAGACGTTTTCATTTCGATCCTGTTTACTGGAATAATAAAGGTTTGGATATTGAAATCTTTTGGAATTTCAGAATAACTGTTAGCAATTATAGATTTTTAAAAGATTTTTAAAATGGTATTAAAGGAGAATCATAGTCATTCCCTACTGTGCAAATTGATACCCCTATTGTCCCGAAACCTACATATTTTGTTAAAGTTATTTACTAACGTTATTCATTATGTGTGTGGTAAAAGGTTTTAGATTAGTGTTCACGCGGTCTGCTGTTTGCCTACGCATATAAACTGTATTGTTTATGACCATCTGTTGCATTTTGATATGGCTCTGCTCAAATAATATTATCACTTTAAATTGTTTGTTGGACTTGATTGGTTTAGACAAAATAATGTAGAGATCGTTTCTGGTGCATTAAGCTACTAGTCCTAGGACTGTTTGAATACGTCATTTTTCACATTTGATATTAAGATATACAGATTGTATAGTTTAACTCTTTAGTTCATAAACAGTCGGGCACTAATTGACTTCTGAATTTATCTCTTAAGTTGATAAGACTTCCTTACATTTTCACTTACAAACCTTGAGGTTATCCCTACTTCCAGCAAGGTGCTTGATATATTCCCAAACTCTTCGATTAAGATTCGATATATATTTAATTTTTACCGATAATTGACATATCTCATACATCGGCACTTTAATGTTTTGGTCATAACCAAGTTGCTTTTAACGAAGGTAGGCAAATTATGATTCTGCGTAAAAAAGCTACACCCATAGTACCATTTCACAAGTAGGTTGTGTTCTAGCGATATAGGTTGTGGTATAAAGTTAGAAGTTTCAGCTAAAATCTAAAAGAAGAAAATTGATGAGGACAGCATTGATTTTTAATAGTTTTATGTTTCCTTCTTGCTTTAATGTTATCTCTTATGAAAAGTTTTATGGAAATGCTATTGTTACCATGTATCGAGCTTCTGTCGGCTTTTCAAAATACAGCGAGTACCAACAGTACAGTTAATACAATAACCAATGTTAAATCCAAATTATATAAAGCACAGTATTTATTAGTCCGAAACATCTGACTCTATCTGACCCCTGATAGCTGTTTTGGTAATTGTCGGTAACTGTCAAAATAGGCTGGATAAGAGGCAGATATTTCGAACTCTGTATATATTAATCTTTATTCGATCAGTTGGCATCAAAGAGAATAGTGGTTATCGTATTATAATGGGCTATTTTTTGTATGTAATTATCATCAATCATATCGTCTCATAGTATCATTTGATAGTCAGAAAATAGTAATGATATTCAGATTATAACTATGACAGATATGATTTGTTGAAGTATTGTATGATAGGTATATTTTATTGTAGTATTGTATGATAGGTATATTATATTGAAGTATTGTATGATAGGTATATTATATTGTAGTATTGTATGATAGGTATATTATATTGAAGTATTGTATGATAGGTATATTATATTGTAGTATTGTGTGATAGGTATATTATATTGAAGTATTGTATAATAGGTATATTATATTGAAGTATTGTATGATAGGTATATTATATTGTAGTATTGTGTGATAGGTATATTATATTGAAGTATTGTGTAATAGGTATATTATATTGAAGTATTGTATGATAGGTATATTATATTGTAGTATTGTGTGATAGGTATATTATATTGAAGTATTGTATGATAGGTATATTATATTGAAGTATTGTATGATAGGTATATTATATTGAAGTATTGTATGATAGGTGTCAATCAACACTTGTTACTATTGAAATGTACCCTGATTGTAGCCTTACAGGTTGTAATTTCCATTTTAACCAGTGCTTGTGGAGGAAAGCAAATTGGCCTCTCGGTCCAGTTTGCTCAAAAAAATAGTGCTGTGTGTGAACATATTCGATTAGTAGCTCCACTTGCTCATCTTCATCTGGTTGATGTGCAGGGTGGCTGGTTCTCTGTGATGGAAGTGTACCCATCTTACTAATATCCAGAGCTTGGTGAATTCAATAATTATTTTGTGGAAACCTGGTTGTCCAAGGTTTCAACAGACATGTGGAATGTTCATGACGCAGAAAACAAACGCACGAACAATCACGCTGAGAGTTGGAACATGAAATTGAATAAACTTGTCGGCAAATGTTACACGAACATCTTTCAGTGTGTCCAAGCCATTAAAAAGGAGCAAGCTGCAACAGATCTGAAGATTGCCCAGCAAGATGTTGCAATGCTACCACCCGCCAGAAAACGAAGATACAGTGTCATGAATCAACGCCTAGCCAGACACAAGGAAGACTATGCCACAGGAAAGAAGTCTGTAGTTGAGTTCCTAAGATCTGCTGGGCGTCTTTTGAAATTAGAAAAACTTTGTTATGCTTTGCTGTATTAACAATCGATGTGCTATTACTATTAAAAATGTTTTGATTTTAATAATTCAGTAAAATACATGTACATGTATTAACAAAGATTGTTTAGTTAACGAAGTTTTGATTTTTTTTTTAACTTGGTATTTTTAATTACTTAGGAACCCGTAACGGGAATAGCTAAACTCTTTCAATATCAAAAAAAGTAGCTCAAATGAGTATTAGCCATAACTCATTTTTTCAACTGATGTCTGAAGTTGAGATATAACAATGAAAACTATGACATGAATTTTATATGACCGACGTAAATTAAAAACAATGGATGTAATTATCTAAGTGATTATCTGACAGAAGACAAACGATTATTTAAATTACTTTATATAATAAGAGCGGACGTGACAGTTATATGGTGTAATAAGATCGGATTTGGCTGTATGAATAATATATCATACTCTAGACTCTGGTATCAAGTTATGGTAATATTGTGCCAGGCATCAAGAATATATTCATATCGGATAATGATGATTGGTTTGTTAAGAGTCAACAGATAAATAATGGTATGGTATCGACTGATCCTTCGTTAATTCTAATAGGATTAAAACGATGAATTCTTCTTTTTTATTTGATGATTCTTAAACGTTTGATTTGATAATAGGATTGTGATATTTAAATCGAACACAGGCTTTTAGAGCAGTTTGGATATCCTGTATTTGATTCGAATAAAGAGAATTTAGAGAATAAACTTATTGAATTAAATTGATATTTTTACTCAACATTGATATGAATTTATTTTTACAGCACGAAATACCAATTTTAGTCCATTTATATCCTTTGTAATAATGGAATCTGACACTAAAATTAATTAGAATTGATATCCGTCCAAATTTTATTGTTATATTTTGATGGGAAATGCTGTTACAAAACTATAAAATTCGATATGTCTTTCCTATCCCGTTTTGTAGTGTATTGACAATCACACTGTGGTTTTATTAGGCATAGCTTTTCCCTTTACATTTCAGTAATGATTTGGTATTAAATTTATTCATAACTTGATCATGTATTTACAGTTATAAGTAGTGTTCATCTATTTTCAGATTCAACAAGCCAGAAAAGTTTTTGGGCATGGATTTCAATACTACCATGTATCCTGATGTTAAGTATCACGTAAATATGACTATGAGAACAGATAAAGATGTGGGTACACTGTGTAGTAACCCAGAATTGGGCAATTCTACGGCATGTAATAAATCAGCTCTTGGAATAAGTTTATCTACGCCTATACTGATGATGTCTACAGGAGTTCTTGGGAATTTATTGGCATTGTTTGTGCTTTATACATCAAAAAAGGAAATGAAAAAGACAGTTTTCTTTCCTTTACTTTTAGGACTAGCCTGGACTGATTTAATAGGGCAGCTTAGTACAGCACCAATAGCAATTATAGTGTACGCGAATAATTTAAAATGGGTTGGTGGAGAAGAGCTTTGTACATATCATGGCTTTATGATGGTGTGGTTTGGACTACTAACACCTCTTATAGCTTGTTGTATGTCAGTTGAACGTTTCATAGCGCTGAGATTTTCATACTTCTACGCACGGGTGGCAACCAGGCCAATGGCACAATATGCAATAGTAATTTGCTGGATTACTACGTGTTTTATGTGTACTCTACCATTAATGGGATTTGGTAGTTATGAACATCAATTTCCAGGATCATGGTGTTTTTTAAACTTCCATCGTGAAAGTCGTCTAGACACTGCCTATGCTAGTATATTTGCTATGTTAAATGTGATATTTATTGGTGTTATGATTGTTTGTAACGTGACGGTCGTGGTAACATTAATTAACATGAGAAGAAGTAGAAAAGTCAAACATTCTCCAAGTAATGAAAGGAAATTTTCAGTGATAACCAAATCCTTACTGGAGATGGAGATTGAAACTCAAATGGCCTGGTTTTTATGTGCAATAACATTAGTGTTCAGTATCTGTTGGTTACCTTTAAATGTAAGTATGTTTTTGTATTCTAAATATTTGATAATCCTTATTTTGAGGTCAAATAATTATATAGAAAAACTAGACCTGAACATAGGAATATGTCAGAGAGTCTGAAACGTGAAACATTTGAACTCATTCTCTAACTACTTGGCCAAAATTGAAATGAAATAATTTCTTTTTTATCCTATATTGATGCTATCTCGCGAACAGTGGAGGTCTACTTATTTTGAATTTCCAACAGTTAGGGTGTCTTGAAATACACGGCTTGTAGGTCTCAGTTGATATGTGATATGAACGAGCAAGAAAGAAATAAGATGTTTTATAATAAGAACAGAAAACATGGCAAGCATTAGCTTGAGTCGATATCACAAACACAGCTTGAATCGACTTGGTTTGATTGATAGTAGGTTTCTATTAGACCTACCTGAAGTAGGTTTTGAAAAGATCAAAATCAATTGTCTACATCTCAACACTATTGATTGTCAATAATTGACCTTTTGTCACACAAAAACAAAAATGCTATAGCATGGAAAAATCATTTATGACATTTTGAGATAGCCAAGTTACAGTTTTAATTTAACATGAGCGATCAAAGAGTCATATTAGTGTATTGAATGTTCATATTATTCGCAGTGACTTAACTATCATATAGGAACTGGTTGAACTCAGGCCCCAGTCCAAAGAAAAATGCAGGATAGCATGTGTTAAAAAAACCAGCCCACTTTTAAGTGCATGGACCACCATCTATCTAGTTGAGCTATCTGAATATCTACTAAATTTTTGAGTGTGTAGTTGAACTATTTAATTGTCATTTTATTTCTTTTCAGATTCATATACTTGACAATCAAGTGACAGGGAAAACAAATCGCGCTAAAGACTTGATTAGTGTAAGATTAGCAAGCATTAATCAAATATTAGATCCATGGTTATATATATTACTTAGAAAAGCTATGATAGTTAAAGTGTTAGGCCGGATCAAACGGTATATCATATCCAGAAAAAGTGATGGTGTTACACAAAAATCCACTAATCATGCCACCAAAGGCAATTGTAGTAACTTAAACAATATCATGATTGAAAATCCAGTGTATAAGTCACACAGTGTAGATTGGGATAGAACGGCTAAACTGGTGCAAAAACCAATTCAAACCGAAACTCAGTTAAACTATACAGTACAAAAGAATTCAGTAAATGACTGTGGAGACTCAGAGTCAGACGTATTCTTGAATATGAAACATTCCGACAAAAACTGTGACAGGACGTTTTACAGCTGTGAAGACAAAACATCAAGTCCCACTCGCCCAGTCATTCAAAGAATGAACAGTTCACCCGCCACAGGACAAATCCCATAACATTATGTTGAAGTGAAGAAAGCCACAAAACGTCAATTATCAGTGAATGCTTTACGTCAACTTCTATTTATCCTATATGCACTCAAACATGCATTGAATGAAAACGTCAAGTATCCTTTTAAAACCCCTTTCGTACAAGAAAGATATCATTTGGAGTATATCCCCTTGGAGTAAATACGGGCTTCATCAAATTAATTGACATGGATTGTCACCCATAATACTGACTGTTACTGGGCACATTCCCGTTGAGAAATCTTGACCAACATGATTATCGTGTAGTGTTGTGTAGTCTGTGTTGTTGTGTTATGATAAAATACGTAATTGATACACAATACTAGTTTTTTTTTAAAAAGAAAATAATCCAATTCTTTTTGACAATGATATGACTCTTGTTCATATTACGATGTTTAAAGTTCTCTATAACACTCGAGATTTCTGCTCTTTTAATACTTCTTTAATATTCTGGTAGTGATAAATGCAAAAAGGGTTTTCTCGAAACTGGACGCAACTAAAACTGGTATCTCAACTTGCCGACGATGTAAGCGGTGCAGGAAACGGATTAACAAGCGTGTAACTAGACGAGTACAATTATAACACCTTACATATCCACCATACAATTTAGGGATAATAACACTTGAAAAAAAATTCAACTCTCATTTGAAACAAAAGTTGTACCTCTCAGGTCAAAATTGCCAAATTATAGGCATTTCCGTCAGTATGACTGAGCAGATAGAAATTGAAAAAAAAAACGTTGACAGATATATATCAGAATATTAGCGTTGCAATTTAAACTGCACGTGCACTTATATCTGAAGCCGCAAATTTCCTGACTCTACGGCGCTTTTAGTGCGCGAAAGTCTCCCGAATGCAATTTTCGAGTGATTTTTCGATACTTCGAGGCTGATACTTCAAAGTTAACTTTCTCTTTACGACTTGAATAGTCGCAGGACAAAATAGGGTTGACACTAACTTCTATCGTTTACTGCAAATAAATTGCAAATTACCCCCGGGCACTTCCAATAAGCAGCTTTCGTGGTGTTTTTCTCTTGGAAACAAATGGTCCATGACCATTTGCAGATAGGGTAAGGTCGGCCACCAGCCTAAAGGTTCTATACAGTCTAGCTGAACACGTTGGAATTAAGACCAAAACTTTGACAACTATCAGGTGTAAAGCAGCAATTTGCACTGGAGGCACACAGCTATCTGAAGTTGTTCTTTTCCAAATTTCGAGGCAAACTCTGCCTGCTACAGCACTTTTAGTTTCAGACGTTTCGTCAAACAAAAACATGAAGGATTTTCCTCTCTAAAATAACGTTGAAGCTTCAGAGTAGATTTTCTCAAAACTTTGAAAAATTTCGAATTTCTGTTTTCGACTGCAGTAGACACAGGACTTTCATTTGCAACAAAACTCAGACCTATAGAGTCACAATTGGCCGAGTTATGGCCATTTGAAGATAGAACAGGGTGCCCGTCACCAGCCCATACGGTTCTATACAGTCTAGCTGCACACGTTAGAATAAAGACCAAAACTTTGGCAGGCTGCCATTTGAAAACTATCAGAGTTTTTTGAAGGCACAAACCCATCTGAAGTTTCTATGTTCCGAATTTCAAGTTACTACCTTAAAACTCTGCTTGCTACGCCACAGTACTTTTAGTCTCAGACTTTTCCCCAATCGAAAATATTACTGATTTTTTTCTTGAAAATAAGGAAGAAACTTGAAAGTCAAATTTCAAGAAAGTTAGACGAGCGTCGGCAAACGTTGGGGAACGTCGAGGGACGTCGGCGAGCGCTGAGGGTGAAAAATATTTTAAGGTGTGCACAAAAATTCACGACGTTCTATCAAAACGCTACTTACGCGTTTGTGGAACGTTACACGAAAGTTGGCGGGCATTACTCAAACGTTACTCGAAAGTTAGAACGTTCCCTGGACGCTAGGCGGACGCCGGCCCATCCGGGTCGAGTGTCCAGTGCGTAGCTAGCGCTTGGGTAACGCTTGAGTAACGCCTGTGTAACGTCCGTCGAACGTCTGTTGTGTCGGCAACGTTTCTCAGTGTTCGTCAGCGTTCGCCGAACGTCCATGTAACGAGCCTGTAACCTTCTGGTAGCGTTCAGGAGCGTTTGGCAGCCTCTTGCGATATATAAGGGGCTTGCAGAGGCCACCGTCAGTCCTGTTGGAACTTTCACAGAGTGAAGACCTCAGAAGAATGACAGACAAGGAGAAACAAGGGGTATGCTGTTGCTGCTCTCATGCATCACAATAACCTCCTGCAGTTGGCATTGCACCAGAGATGTTTGATAGGCTGAGATAGAGAGTTGGTACCAGGATCATCATGAAGGACGCTCGCTTTAGACCGGCCCTCGAACCTGGTATGAAGCTGGCCCTGACTTTGCGACACCTTGCCTCTGGTGACAGCTATTTCTCGCAGAAGTTTAGCTGGAGAGTACCTCACAACACACAGTCACTAGTAATAGGATACATTTGCAATGTCATACTGGACGAGTATCTGGAAGAGATGCTGGCCTACCCCAGCACGCCAGAAGAGTGGAAGGAAGTTGCTAACAGATTCTACCAGAGGTGGAACCCATGTCATAGGACCAGAAATGTCGCCTGACGCTGAGTGAACGTTGGCTGAGCGTTATCCAAGAGTTACAAGAACGTTATAAGAACGTTGACCAAGAAATTCATTTTGAAGAACGTTGACATTCCCCGACGTTTCTCCAATTTTTCAAAATGTAACCAAACGTCCAACAAGACGCTATAGTGTGACAGGGCCTTAAAGTCATAATTAGTCGAGTTATGATCATTTGAAGATAGGTTAGGGGGTCGACCACCAGCCTAAAGGTTCTGTACAGACTAGCTGCACACATTGAGATTAAGGTTAAAGTTGCCATTCGAAAACTTTGGAGTTGTAATTTACGAAGTTGTTCTCTACTAAATTTCAAGTTCTTACCTTGCAAACTCTGCCTGCTACAGCACTTTTAGTCTCAAACCTTTCCCCAAACAAAGGATAAGCGATTTTCCTGTTGAAAATAAGGGTGAAACTTGAAAGTCGATTTTCTCGAAAGTTTGAATAAAAACTAAAAATTTCTTTTTTCGAAATACAAGCAGGATATGTTGAACTTTCACTTACAACAAAAATCATATCTCTAGGGTCACCATTTGCCGATTTTGTCTTATGAAGGTAGGGTATGGGATCGACCACCACCCTATACGGTTCTATGCAGTCTGGCTGCACACGTTGGAAATAAGACCAAAACTTGGGCAGACTGCCTTTCGAAAACTATCAGAGATGTAAAGCTGCAATTTTCACCGAAGGCACACACCTGAAGTTGTTCTCTACCAAATTTCAAGTTCCTTCCTTACCTTACAAACTCTGCATGCTACAGCACCTTTATTCTTAGACTAATTAGTCTTAGACTTTTCCCAAAACCAAAACATAAGCGACTTTCCTGTTGAAAATAAGATAAGGGTGTAACTTGAAAATCGATTTTCTCGAAGGTTTTAAAAAATGCGGGTTTCTGTTTTCGACTGAAATAGGCGGGGGAATGTTAAGGTTTCAGTAGAAATAATCATTATACATCCAGTGTAAATATTGGCCAAGTTAAGTTTCGGGGTAGGGTCGGCAGCTAGTCTATACAAGTGTAGTTGCACAAGTTAGCTTTAAGACCAAAACTTTGACAGCCTGCCGTTCGAAGACTGTCAGAGATGTAACGTTGCAATTTGCACTGAAGGTAGACACCCATCTGCAGTTGCTATGTTCCTAATTGTATGTTCCTATCGTGTCTGTTACAGCACTTTTAGTCTCAGACATTTTCCCAAACCAAAATATAAGCGATTTTCTTGTCTATCGCGCACACGAGCTAAACCATTATATACCCCTTGTGTTTCTGTTATACCTGTTGAATAGTAATAACTTTCACTATCATTTAGATGAGTAGCCATAGCCGTCAACGCTTTAACGACTTTTACAGACTGGGAAAATGAAATCGAAAATCCAGTACCATGGAAATTCCTTCCACATCCAAATTTATTGAAATAATTATCAATAACTGAACCCCTTATCACTTGGAATACTTACTTAGGTTTGTATTTGTAAACAAGCAATATCGAATTTGGCATGCTAGCATACATTTTATTGCCACATTCAGCATATCCACAACCGACAGATGTCGTAGTTTTCCAAACAACCTTAAAATCAAACATACTGTTTCAAACCCGTTAACAAAAATTAACGACCATTAACGTCGGTCTGTCCCATTCTAAATTGAGAAAAGTGTTAAACACTTGGGTTTTGTTATGTTTCAATAATTTAAAAAAAAAACGCTTCTTAACCTTTCCAATTGTATAAATTATCTTACCTGTATAGTGACAACATCTATAATCTGTTCTTGAACAACAAGACCACGTTCCATCATTAAATTGCTTCTCATCAGCAACCCATTTTCTAATCAGATCAGCCACCTTAGTGTTAACATCAACTAGATTGGCCATGATTAGTTAGATTCTCTCCTACGTCAGGTGCATATCTATGCTCATAAATACATCTTTGAGCATAAGCTGTTGAGGACGTAGCCAATGTATCATCCCATACCTACGAACACAGTTGATAGGATGAACACTTCCTGCGCGGTTGAATGTTGAATTATTTGTTTATTGAACGCGACTGCATGAAATCGAAAAAATGAGAGCTCCAGAGTGAGCCAATTAAAAATGCCTGCACCATGCGGCGAGTTTAATTTTAGCAGGACATTGGGATTAGCCTACTTGAAATCACGGACCCGTTGGTTAACGAATCAGCTAAACCTCCTCGTCTTAAAGGTTATGTCTAGAAAATTTCAGATGTAAGACAATCACCACACAGCATTTATTCTACATTTGTACTACATCTCGTCGTATCTTGGTACATGAATTTCCTAATGTTTCTAGCATTGGCTAGCATTGTTTCCCTACTGTCAATGTCCACTCTTTTAACATAACATAATGGATTTATAATACCTCATAATAGTATCTCTATTAGTACTACTTACCATTGGTGGTAGATTCCCGTTCTCTTCTGAAGATCATTGTGGATATTCAGTTATATGTCTTTAAGAGTTTGACAATAAACTCCATAGACACTCAAAAACAATAATACAGCTTTTGCGATCATTTTGCCCTGTAAGAGAAAACTACTTGTTTGTTTAATACGCTATTTTGGCAAAATTCATCATGTATACATTGTTTTTTTTTAAATTCTTTTTTAAATATATATAATAGGGATGGAAATTAATAAATGTAGGGTCTTGAATGTTAGCAATAAATTCAATTCATTTCTGAACCTTCTGAGAAGAATAGAAGTGGTTACTTATATCTAATGTCATCCGCTATTTTCTGTAAGAAAGTACTTGAAGATCTAAAATTGAAATGTAATTAATATATTAACAATAATATTCTAAATACTTACTTCTAGTAGTTCTGCTCCAATGAAAGTCAAAATTCAATTCTGAAGCTCTACTACTGTTCGCTGAATTTTAGAGCATTTTATTGATAATATTTTGCCTTTTACAATCTTTACATCCTTACACAATTTACTTTGATATCATTTGATGCTTTGTTCACCAATTTTCATATATATATATAAATTTTTATAGATTAAATTTTAATTTACATGTATTCAATATGTAATTGGGTTATAATGAATTCTATCATTATCTGTTATTAAGTGAAATTGCGCTCAGTAAAGTAAAGTAAATCAGTTAAGTGTTTGAAGTGTTTATTTAAACATCTACATCGCCATATTTGATAATTTTGAAACACACTGTCAATTTTTATGCGATTTTTATGTTTTCATTTGACGTTCCTACGTCAGGTCGTTCAAAGACATATACTTAAAATTTGCCATCAGATTGTTTATTAATTATGAATTCAAGTACAACATTCACACACAACATACAACAATCTTCGGGCAAATGTAGCTGTAAAAACATATATAATAGTATAATTTACAGCTGGTTGAGACGACACTCGTTGAATTTGATGAAGATTCTGACAAATTACTCACTGCCTGCTAAGCTAGCAAGCTTCTAAAACACTGACTAAAATGCGGTCCCTGAAAATCTGGAAGTCTTTTAGATTTATTTTAAAATATTCTTACTAAAGTTACTGTGTGATTTTATAAATAATTTTTAAAATTATCTGATGTAATTAAATTAATTACCTTTCATTCTTTTATAATTGCCGTAATTAGTCAAATATCATCAAAGATGTACAAAGTGACCAATTAAAACTGTGTTTCGTCATAAAAAATAAATTACTTAATGCCTCTGCATTGAGTGTTGATGTTTTCAAGTTTTCTAGAATTTTATAATAACCTGTTACTAATTGTTATCAATTTTTAATAAATATCATGATTTTTTAAATACGGGAATACAAGCCAGCATGGCAAATTGAGACAGTGAAGTAAATAGAGTAATATAAGGAAAGCGATTGTATTATAGTCTGTATCTTTAAACACATCAAACAGGATAACATGAACATTACGTGTTTCCCTTTCCTTACTAATCTAACAAACGAATCATCTCTATACTTAGCCTATATATTGTATAGATTATTTATTTCCTTGTTACAAAATGGGTTACATTATGTATTTTCTTTCTGTATTTTTCGTAATTGCTATTATAAACGGTAAGGAGTTTTGGATTATATTTATAAAATACAAAATTATTTTGTTCTTCATAGCATCCTTCACGAGTAGAGTTTCAAGATTAACTCATCACAACAACAAATCCATACAATTTGAGTACGATATTTTGTTTTGATCTAGTAGCAGACGAGCGCTTTTATCGCTTTTTATTGAAGTGAACGGACCGAAATATAAGTTAGTGTGCCCCTAGAGAGCTAATATAAGCTTATACCATTTATTCTGGTGTTCAAATGTTCAACTTGGAAGGGTGTTTTTTTTGTTGGACAACTATCTTATCATAGTGGTCGTGGTCATATTTCAACGAACACTGACATTCCCTTCATGAAATAACATCCTTAATCATTGTTTTTATACGCCCACATCTCTCTATGATGGAATTTTATAGATATTTGAAAAATTCTTTTTGCAATTAGTTATAATTGTCCCCGTAAAGATTTTGGAATCAAAAAACTTGACCCGGAAGTATTGTGTAAGACGCCATCTTGATATGACTCATTTTTATAAAACTCAAAATGGGGCCTCAGGGTAAAATTGGATGTGCGTAAATTTGATGTTTATGTAAACTACAATCGATTGCTAACAAAACATGAGAAGCCGATTTTTGAATTTTGGCTTTGTATTTTTTTTATTTCCGGTTTTATGTTTTCAGTAATTGTCAAAACTATTAAGGCTCATTTCTAGTGACTTTGACCTTTGGTGATCTTGTGACCTGAACAAAAGTTGTTGCCTCTTACGAGATCTATCCGATTATATCTACACTTTTGTTGGTCATCGTTAACTTCCGGTTCTACAGCCATTGGAAAATCGCGATTTTTAACTTTGAAGAGCTCTGTCACGTGACCTAATTAACATACGACAAAAATTCTTATATATTCTTTGAGTGCATGAAATCTCCTTTTTGGTGATATATCACACTTGATATTTTGATC